GCTTTCACACTCACTGTCCACTCGGGAGTCTTAAAAATAAAATCAGGCTCTGCATGTGCTCAGATGCACTCTCTTCTTTTATGGCTTTCCCCTCACGCAACTCAGGAGTAAGCCTCGCTGAATTCATTGGACCTTATTTTGTGGAAGTTTGTATGGGATTTCAGCATATATCTGCTTGCTTGCGAATGGAAAAGAAATTGTTCCTTTCCTTCCCAAATAGACAATGCCTTCGTGTAATCCTGTTCCCTGGACATTTTTCCTAGCGACTAGTGTCCTCCTGGAGAAGGATTCTGCATCTCCTTATGCCTCCGAGCTCCTTTTTCCTTTGCATAGGAGCTGCTTTGCTTCGCCAAAGAAATACAATCTGCACATGCTCAAAGGCTCTTGAGCTCACAGCAGGACAAGAGGAAAATGACTGGAATTCAGACACAGATAACCTGGAACTGGGCGGCTCTGTTTTAACGAACAGGACAAGCCGAGTGCAGCAGCTTCTCGCCAGGATTTGTGTCCGTCTTCCGTGCGGGAGCAGGCGGATTGCGCGATGAATGCCAAGGTGCGGATCCGGCTGGATGAGGTGCTGCCGGCCCTCGCGGTGGCCAGGGCAGCCGGAGGGCCTGCCGTGGGCGGTTTCGGCAGCCGGAGGGGCCCGGCGTGTCGAGTCCCCTTCTGTGGCTCTCAGGGTTTTGCTGCCTGCGGGAGGCTGGTTATGCCTGTCCTGGAGCGACTTGCACGGGGAGGGAAAGCATATCCCATAACCGGCCAGGTCACGATCGCTTGGGGGAAGCGGGCTGGAGTCCCGGACCCGTCCCTTGAATCACCCCCTAGACTGGGTAGGCAACCCTAGTGGGGAATGGGGCCAGATGGCACTGGAGGCGGTTCTGTTCTTGGCATTAAAGGGTGTAGCCCCCCCCCCTGTGGAATTTGTTCCTGGCAGGTAAAGACACCACTCCCAGTCCCCTTGTTTGCAGTCCCAAGCTGGCGATGGGGGGGGATTCCTTTTCCCCTTCCCTCTAAAGTCCCTGCTAGCTGCTGGGCCAGGGAGTGGCGCTCAGTGAGTGGAGCGCAGGCACTGCAGGCCTGCCGGCCGGCCTCTGCTGCATCGGAGTGGAAGGCCAGGCGGCAGTAGTTTTGGATGAGGAAGGTAAATCTTCAGGACCCGAGTGCGGATTTAGGCTCTGTTGGTGCTTTGCCTGGTAGGGAGCCTTGCGCCTGTTGAAACCGCGGTGTGGGAGCCACGTCCGTCGCGGCTTCAGTGAGGAAGTGACTCCAAGGCCCTCCTAGGAAAGGAGAGCTGCTAGCGCTTGTCCAGGGAGGAGCTTCCCTGGAGTAAGTCCCGTGTGCCGGGTCCTCACTCCCGAGCAGGGACAGGCGGGATGCTGCCAGAGAAACCTCTCTAGCGTGGAACCCGCAGGGAGGGTTGGTTACGAGGCCGCCAGGAAGCAGCTGCGTACTTTCTAGAGCTGTGGGGCTACAGTTCCCATCAGCCACAGCAAGGTGGCCAGTGGTCAAGGGCAGGGGAGATGTAGCCCAGAAGATCCGCAAGACACCAGCCCTACTTTATAGGATCACTGTAGGGGCTTTAGGGCGGAGCAGTCTGCCCCTCATTTGGAAAGGTTTTAATCACATCCATGTTTTAATTATAATTAATATCTGAGGTGCCACAAGACCCAATAAAAGCTATTGCAGCATGAATGGGGAAACAAAAGTGGCGTCCTTTACAGTTTTTGAAGCAGGAGTTTGTGCCTGAGCAGCTCCACTGGTTTTATTTTATTGGCTGCGAGAGATCTTGGGGTTTCTCCCCCTGCAAGTTCCTTTTCAAGTGCGCCCAGAACTGTCAGGCATGCAAAGCGGTAGCAGAAATCCTGTGCGTTGCCGTGCTGCGAATACTGAAACTCGAAACACACGTTTCGTCTTCACGGAGCTCAGCTCTTTCTTGAGTAAAGCCAAGCTGGGAACCATTGCCGGAAACTGGAAACGGGGGTTGTTTTTGAAATTCATTTCTTGGCTGCGACTTTGGCTTTCTGGTGGTCTGGGGAATCTGTCCACGTGGAACGGAGGCCCTTGGCTCTGGGTTTTGTGCAGCTTTGTAGCCCCAGATGCCGGTCCTCACAGTTGTGGGGTACAGTTGGCCACCTCTGTGCACTACTGGTTTTTTTAAAGCAGTCTTTGGCTTCTTTTCCAAATTAATTCTGCACCCTGTTAACCAAGAGGAGGGATGTCCGAATAGGTGCAGTGCTTAACCTGACTTATTCTGGTGCCCCGTGGCCCTTCAGAGATTTCATCCCACACCAAACACATTCAGGCTCATCTTCACAGCCACAAGGACTAGCAGCTTGCTGTTAACAAACCTGAACCCGTTTCCGCATTGACAGGGTTCCTCATCATATCATGCACCCCAGGTTTCCGCTGCTTGTGTGTGTGGAACTGTACTTTTCCAGACCATGGGATGCGCCGCAAGGGAAGTCGGCTGTCTTCAGGGATGTGGGGTGGAAAATTTCCTGATGTTATATTTTTCCATGGAAAAGTTAGCACATGGAATATGTTTGCATTTATCTATGGTTGCCTGGGTTGTCGTACTGTGTTCAGTCAGGTTAGATGGGTGAAAAGAGGGACAGGAACTTCAGTAAATTACTCTGCGAAGGCCAGCATCGTCCGAGCCTCGTGAGCGCTTGAGCGTGGGGAGCAGGAGAATCAAGGACGACAGCCCTTCCTGTGCCCAAGGCAGAGGCTCCCGGCCGGGGCTGGGCCAGGCGCCGACATGCGCTTTCCCCTCTTTTGTGAACTTGCTTTGCACCACATCGCCCAGCCTGTGCGCGCCCACAGAGCCACAGAGCCGCCAACTCGTGGTTCACAAACTGATTCTTCTCAGCATGGAATGGAACTGAAAAGCAGCACCGGGAGGGAGCGGAGTTGGAAGGGAACGTTAACTCAACAAAAGAAATTTAACCATTGGGATATCAGCACTTTTTGGGTACATTTCCTAAAAACAATGTTTTCCTTGAAATGTGGTCATTTTTTGTAAACAGAGATATGCATCTTAGGGAAATTTGTACTCTTTTCTTTATGTTTTTACAAATATTCCAGTAATTTTCATGAAGTGTTGAATATGTTTGGTTGTAACATTTAAACTATTTTGTCTGGTTAATTTAATTCTCTCCCAAGAAAATATATTAGTTCTATTGTTTTGTAGTTGTAGGGAGAACTAAAAGTTAAATTAATACTGCATATAAAACTGACATAGATAACAGTTTTAGTTCCGTTTACTAAATAGGAGATATTTCACATTCTTATTGAAGGAGAGCAAAAATGAGTCCAACAAACATGCTAACTCAGATAACATTATTTGGAGCTTTGGAATATTTTTCAGTTCTGTTTTTCCTGGAAGACACACACCACTCGTTGGCTTTGCGAATGTCAGCTTGTGGTCGACCTGGAGTCATGCACTTAGCCAGAGTGGGAAGGAAGACGTCCACATGGTGGGCACGTCATGAGTGGAGCTGGCTGGAGCCGGGGGTCAGACTAGATGGCCCAGGAGACCCCTTCTGACTCACTCTGTTTCTGTGTTCATGAAGGGTAGAGCTGTCTGGACTGAGAGCTACACTAGCTAAATAGAACCTCCATGCCCCAGAACAGTCTACCTGTAACTACCTGTTACTGGGGAGAGACTGCAAGGGAGGGCCACTGGCTTCCCAGAGGCGCCTGCCTGGTGTCGGATGCAGCAGTCCGGCCGAGAAAAGCAGCCCTGGGGTGTCTGAAATCAAGCCACGGTGCTTTGCGTGAAAAGTCAGGATAGCTGAAACGCAGTGGACCGGGGCAGCTGCCCCGCAGGTGGCTCGCCAGCTCGCTCAGCAGGCAGGTTCGGACCTGCACCGCCTGGTGCAGAGGAAGCTTGGGGCGCGACACGCCCCCTCCCAGCACTTTCCTCGCTCCGTGGGGCTGGGGTGGCACCCCGGTGCGCTCGTGGGAAGACCACGGCACAGCGCATGGCTCCCGGCGTTTGACCCTGCTCCCTCTCTTGAGTCCTCACCGCCAAATATCCGATGGAGCACCCCTCTCCCTATGTCCCAGCCCGTCCCCTGGGGTCCTGGTGGGCTTTGCGGGCCTCCCCTGGGAAGATGCCCCCCCTTGCTGCCTCGCTCCGGGCCGTCTCGCAGGAAGGCCTCGAGCGGGGCGTCTCGGCCGGAGGAGGTCAGGAGAGGGGTTCTGTCCAGCACGGTGGTCCCAAGCCATGTCGGGCTTCGGTAGCAAGAGCAGCACCTGGTACTGGGCTGGGAAGCATGAGAGCGCCCAGGGCTGGACAAACATCCTGTGGGCTCCTGGGCAGGGGCGGGGGTCTCCCAGGGAGGCTCCCGCAGCCCCTTGAAGTGGATATTGGCTGGCATCACGTTACACAGGGGTGTGAGAGCTGGACATTTGGATTATGTTAAAACCGCCTCGCTGCACTGTCAGGCATCTGTCATTCCACCGTGCGCTCGCTGGTGGGACCGAGTTTTTTGCAGGAGAATGTGGTTTGTTTGCAAATGTGCACAAGGACCAGTGCAAGCGCACAGTTGTGATGATCTGTGCAGATGTGCTGATCCGCCCCCACCAAGAAAAGCAAGAACCTGGCCCACGACTCCGGACGACTGGGGAAAAGATGGTTGGCCTTTGACATCCTGAACCGCTCCAGATGTTTTTGAACACAAGCTCTGATTAGTCCCAGCCAGCATAGCCAGGAGTGAGGGGACTTTTGGAGGGCTTCAAGTTGCTAGACCTCAGCATGAACCCTATGCTGTGCCCACAAGCTGCAGGGCAATTACAATAACTCGCTAGAAAATGCTTAAGATTGTTAATATTTAAATATTTAGCCAGTCCGTGCAGGTCAAGTGATGGCTCTTAAGAGCGCTGTTATTTTGCAGAAGAGAAGTTGGGTTGTAACCATCCAACACAGCGCCATCTTTTTGTCCTTGTTGTTCTGATTTTGCTCCTCTTCCCCTCACAGGTCTGGACGTTTCGGGACTGATTTCTTCCAGTAGTGAACGGCAGCAGCTGGCGCCGGCTGGGCGAGCCGCTGTGTCTGTGTGAGGGAGGACTTGCCCCAAAAGATGGTTGGGAAACTCAGGCAGAACTTGCTGCTGGCCTGCCTGGTCGTCAGTTCGGCAACGGTCTTCTACCTGGGGCAGCACGCCATGGAATGCCACCACCGCATCGAGGAGTGGGGCCCGCCGGCCCGGCCGGAAGCCGCCCGAGCGACCCCGAGAGTGGGCCCAGCCTGGAAGGAGAACGCCACCTTGGCTTACCACAAAGACATGCCTCTGATCTTCATCGGGGGGGTTCCGCGGAGCGGCACCACGCTGATGCGGGCGATGTTGGACGCCCACCCGGACGTTCGATGTGGGGAGGAGACCCGGGTGATCCCGCGTATCCTGGCCGTCAAGCAGATGTGGGCCCGCTCGAGCAAGGAGAAGATGCGGCTGGACGAGGCCGGGGTCACGGACGAGGTCTTGGACTCGGCCATGCAAGCCTTCTTGCTGGAGATCATCGTCAAGCACGGAGAGCCCGCGCCGTTCCTGTGCAACAAGGACCCCTTTGCCCTCAAGTCCCTCGCGTACCTGGCCCGCATCTTCCCCAATGCCAGGTTCATCCTGATGGTGCGGGACGGCCGGGCCTCGGTGCATTCCATGATCTCCAGGAAGGTCACCATCGCCGGCTTCGACCTGAACAGCTACAGGGACTGCCTGACCAAGTGGAACCGCGCCATCGAGACCATGTACAACCAGTGCGTGGAGGCCGGCATGGACCGTTGCATGATGGTGCATTACGAGCAGCTTGTCCTGCACCCTGAGCTCTGGCTGAGGACGCTGCTCAAGTTCCTCCGCATCTCGTGGCACCCAGCCGTCTTGCACCACGAAGAGATGATCGGAAAAGCCGGTGGGGTCTCCCTGTCCAAGTGAGTCGTTTCTTCTCCAGGCTTCCGGGAAACTTGGGATTGGGACCGTTCCCCAGGACGTCCTGCAGGGCCCGGCACTGCCGGTGGGCGCCCCGTGGGCAGGCCCCGGCCACTGTCCCGTGGCCCACGCTTCCCCCTGGCCAGCCAGTGATCCCTGCTGTGTCGTCGTCTTGATTGCAATGGCTGGTTGCCTTTAACCTCGCCCTCTTCCCTGGTTATTTCTGCGGGCAAAGGGGGGGTGTCCTGGTCCCCCCTTGGGCCCACACCCACGCGAGTCCCCCTGCAGCCGGGGTCTTCAACCTTTCTCAGCCTCAGCTCCGTTTCAGAGCTGCTCTCCGGCCACATCCTGGCAGCATGTGAGGCCAAAGGCAGAAGGGGCAGGGCCAGCTAATGCAACGAGGCCAGCGCTTTTTCTTTTTTAAATAAGTTTTATTTGAAATTATAATCCTAAAAAACAACCCCCCCCCCAAAAAACAACATCCATCATCAAAAACATCGGGCCCGCTGGGTCAGCCCCCACACCCTTCTCTTTCCATTTATGATTACTTAAAAACATATTTAAATCTTTGCGAAGTCCCATTTCTCTAGCCAATAATAAAAGGAGTCCCAGGTTTGATAGATAGAGACCAGCGCTTTTTCGTGGAGAGTTCTTTCTGCCTATTGGGGAGTGGCATTTTGCAGCCTTTATTGGATGAGGAAAGATGCGCGGGAGTTAGGGGACTCCCAGATGGTTGACAGCTGGGCGGGGGGGCCGCGTGGCAATCTGGGGAGCTCTGGGGTGCCGGATTCCGGCTCCTCTAGGGCCCTGCACCCAGCCACTGACGCAGCCCTCCCCCACCCCCTTGCATGACCCTCTCCTAAATGGACTTGGGATCCGGCTCTGTTTGATTAATGTTCAGCTAACAGGTGCTTGATGCCACATTTCACATGCTGTGTAAACACACGTGCACGCGCATTCTGCGTGTCTCTGCCATGTGATCATTCTTGACCCAGAGATGCGGCAGAATTGCTGGCTCTCGGGACACTGGCCCTGAAGCCTTCTGTGTGCAGAGCAGGCGCTCTCTCATGGCATGGCCTCTCTTCACAAGAGCTCCAGTAAGGTTCTAGACCTCATGGTTGTGAATTAAGGGCTGATTGAAATGGGAACTTCAGACACTGCCTGATACTGAGTGGGGCGTGTTCTGTGCCTCTGGAGGACTTCCAGCGCGTGCTCCAAGTCAGATGTCCTAACCAGAAAGCGTACCCAGCAGCGCTCTCTCAGAAGCGTGCCTGGGGGTCTGGAGGGTGCAGCGTGGTCTTCTGGCAGTATCCGTGCCTGTTTTTCTTTCCATGCTTTCAAAAGGGGCCTCTCTGGATGTAAGAGGGACACTAACTGCCTCCCTCCCATTTTAATGTTCCTTTTAAATTTTCCAGAGGAGCCTGTTCAACCGCTGTACCACAGCAATGCCTCTCTCGGTATACTAGAATTCCTGGGCCTGCCTTTGAGCCTCTCGGAACGCGTCTGGAGGCCTGGTGGGAGCGAATGCAACCTGTGAGTCAGGAATTTTGTGGCTGGCAGTCATTTGGCCTTTGCAGCCTGCTTTTTCTGGTTTTCCTGATGCCCAATGCCTTGCTCCAGGGCACCCTGAAAGTGTGCACATTTTTATGGGTGGGATCAGAGCTGGTGTACCGACATTGGCATGTTGCTGGGCCCCTTTTGCATCTGCCTCCCAGTCTGCAGGCAGGTGTGAGGAGAGGCTGCAGGTCCCGATGCACCTCTAGCAGGTATGGAGACAGTTTCCGACGGCTCAGAAGCGGTTCCTGCAAGGAGGCGGCCGAGCAGGACTCTGGCTTGTGCTGGCCAGCCGCACCCTGTGAAAGAACAAGCAACCCAAGCATGCTTGGCGCCTGGTTTTCGAGCCTCTTTCGAGCTTGCAGACCGAGTCGGAGTTCTTTACTGGATCGCCCAGCTTAATAAAAGCCATTTGCAAGCTTGCTGTGTCTGTGGGAGGGACGGAATCCAAACAGGAAAATCGGGCCCCGTTGGTTTCTTTCTCATGCCTCTCCTCTTAGAAAACAATGTTTACTTTGCGCTCTGTGGCCCCCCTGGCGTCTCAGCCTCCCCCCCTCCCCGTGGAGCCCTTTGGCCTCTGCTTTGGAGTTCTGGTAACCAGACCCTGTGTTTTCTTGGTTGCTTTGGGTGGCTGAGCCAGTAATTTGGGGTCATTTTTCCTCAGCCTCCCCAAACCTTTGGTCGCATGCGGGTGTGAGAGCAGCCATCCTGCTTGTGCGATCCTGCGGGCAGCTGGTTTGCCGCCTGGACGGCCTTGGGGCTCATCCAGCAGGACTTCTCCTGTGTTCCGGAATCCGGGGTGGCTGCCATTCCGCAAGGAATTTTGGCAGCGTTGTGGGGCAGCACGGGACCTTCCGCGGCTTCCCTGTGCTGCCAGCGTGGCTGCTGGCAGGATCCGGCCCAGCCAGGGAGCGCTGCCATAAGAGCTGCTGAAGCTTGCCTGTTCCTTAATGGGAAACAGCTGTGCAGGCCGTGGTCCTCCGGGAGGGGCCGGGCCGGGCCGGGCCGGGCAGGGCGCTTGCTTCGTCACGGCGGCCGGAGCCCGGGGGTCAGCAGGATTCGGGGCAGAATGCACCGTGTGGCGGTGAGGGGGGAGACTGCTGGGGCAGCGGGGCTTTTGCGCTTCCTCCGGCTGTCCTAAGAAGAGCCGTGCTGGACCAAACCCAAACTGTCGCCAGCTTCTTTTTCCTGACTCAGCAAACCAGGCATCGATACGGTGGTCTCCTGGTGCAGCTTGAGGCCACAGCAGGGTGGGGGAGGGAGGGTCCGCACCCCTGCAGGATTCTCTTCCGTATCTGGGCCTGTCAAGATCGACTGCTTCTGAACATGGGGGTTCATAGGTCCATCAGAAGAGCCCTGCTGGACTGCCCCACGGTCCAGTTTGCCTTCTGGAAGGGCCGTATTTTTTGACCTGTCCTGCCCACTGTGTCAGGCCTTTTACGAATGAGCAAGCCCCACCCTGTGACAGCCATTTTGTGAGAGCACCCACGACCCACTCAATATGTCAGATGTGCCCACTGAATCAGACTGGGGACCAGAGCTTTCTTGTTGGCACTTTGAGGGCTGAACTCCCCTTTGGAAAGGCTTTTGGGGGGGTGCTCCATTGGTCAGTGGGGCCAGAGCAAAGGGGGCCGGGCCAGAATCGCCCACATCCCAGCCTCCCTTAGTTTCAAGCCCAGTCTGTTATGCCTTCATGGGCCACTTCGGCCTTCCACAATGGCGCAGAAGTGGGCGAGCCGCCCCCGTGCGGCCCGCTGCCTGGGGGACGCCCCGGCGGGCCGGCTTCGCCCGCTTGTCCCGCTGTTCTGCACCATCGCTTTCGAGGGCCGCACGTTCTAGCGAGAGAGGCGCGAGCGCTCCGTTTGTCCTGGCTCCGTCCCACCTCTCCCAGTCAGGACCCCTCCAGAAGGCTTGGACTGCAAGCCCCATCAGCCCCGCCTCCCCCTTCTTTTACGCAGGGCCGTGTGGTGGCAGGCCTTGCCAGGTTTCCCCCTCAGGCCTCCGTGGCGTGTTAGGCAGGTGGGGAGAGAGTGCGGGCCACGCGAGGCGGCCTCTGGGTGCTTTTGGGGCGAGTGCGGGCAGAACCCCAGGACCTGGCCTGCAGCAGCCGTCCGGGGTATTTCTGGGACCGAGCCTTCGCCATCAGAGGGGCTGAGGCCTCGTCTGATGGGGCGGCGGCCGAGGGGTGTGCGGGTGGCACTGCCAGAGAGGCCGTGCTGGAGGGCCTCAGTGCCCTGGCACGGCATGCGCGCGCATCAGGGCCATCCCTGTCACAGCCTTGCGAAACTTCTTTTGGCCCGATAGGCTGGATGTGCACGTGGTGGGCGTGTTGTGAGCAGAGCCGGCTGGTGCCGGAGGTCAGACTAGATGGCCCGGGAGGCCCCTTCCGACTCGCTCTGTTTCTCTGTTTCTGTGTTTCTCCTTTGGAGGAGCCTCTGGGGCCGCATTCCCATGGGTTGCCAAGGCAAGGCGGGGAGGGCCCCCCGCATGTCGTTGCATGTTGTTGTTGCAGGGGGTGTGCCCCCCTGCATGCCCCCTCCCCCCACATCATGTTGCTTAAAGCCTTCACTGCCAGCAGAGGAAACGTTCAGGGAGGTGTGCTGGCCTTTTGGAAGGAGGGAAACGAACTGCAGCCACGGTGGGCCATTGGTGCTTGGTGGGGGAGGCGTGTGGCCTGGGAAGGTGCTGGGGCTCCTCCAGGCCTCCCAAAATGCAGGCTGGTCTCTCGATCTGCATCCACTGAGTGGCGGATTCTGTCAGGTTTCATTTGCTCCAGGAGCCGTTCGTTGGTGAAGCGGGTGGGTCTTCATTGCCTCTTCCAGACCAGGCTACCCCAAAATATTTTTCGTTGGGGACACCCCTCCCTTCCCGCCACTGAAGATTGCTGCTACACAGAAAGAGAAGTGCGGGATGGTGGCTGGTGCGTCGGGATCCTGCTAAGAAAACATGGAATGCGCCGCCAGCCCCGCCGTGCACCTGCCAAAGCAGAACAGGAGGGGAGAGCCCCCCCGCCATGCAACAGGCAGTTTTCAGGCCCGTCCTGGCGTGACTCTGGATTCTGCGAGCGCAGACCCAAGAGTGTCTCAGCCGTGCCGGCACATTTCTTTGCTATTTCAAGCACGCCGTGGGGCCCAGGACTGACGCCTTGGAAGGGAGGCCGGCTGTCTGGAGCAGCACTGGCTTGTGCTGCCGGTGCGCGTGCACATTTCCGGGGGAGAATCGGCAGGGTGGCGCGTTTGTGCTCACACCCATGCTTAACCCTTCCTGGTCGTGGCGTGAGTTGTGCAAGAGATGGTGGGGGGACCACAGAGTGTGCACAAGGAGAGGGGGAGGGCCAGCGAGTCGGTCTGAAATCCCCCCTTCCCAATACCCCAATACACACTGCATTTTCTCCCTGGTCATTTGCTTAATTTAGATCCTGGCAGAAGCGGCACTTGGGGCGGTGGATGGCGGTAAAACTCCGGCTGGAAACAAGCTCCTAATTCCAGTGTAACACGCAGGTCCACCGAAGAATTACAACAAGCAAAGGCAACTTCTTTGCAGAATTCCTCCTTTAAGTGGCATCGCTCTGCTTCTCCAAGTTGGATGATGGGATTTGCATGCTAACACATCTGGGGGGCACCAGGTTGGGAAAGTCTCATGCAGCTTCTTGGTGCTAGTTCTCAGTATTTTTCGCTTGATAGAGCAGAGAAAAAGCCTGGAGTCACAGGAAAGCGAATGGATGGATCTGGCCACCCGGCGCACGTTCCAAAGTTGCGGCCTGGCGGGAATGTGGTCCAGCCCCCCGGTTGGTGGGTGCGGGGGGGCGGTTGGTCTGACTGGAAGGTTGGGGCACTAACGCGAATCCTCCATGGTTTGCAGAGTCGAGCGGTCTACGGACCAGGTCGTCAAGCCGGTCAACGTGGAGGCCTTGTCGAAGTGGGTCGGGAAGATCCCCGCGGACGTCCTGCGTGACCTGCCCGCGATCGCGCCGATGCTGGCCAAGCTTGGCTACGACCCCTTTGCTAACCCGCCCAACTATGGGAAGCCCGATCAGAAGGTCCTGGAGAACACGAGGAGGGTAACAGGCAGCTCCTGCTTTGCCCAGGGTACCCGAGGCGGCCGAGGCGCGTGGGCGAGAGGAGCGGTGTCCCCGGGCCGGGTTTCAGCCTGACTGACCGTTGGGATGCTCTGAGTTCTGGTTGAAGGCTGGAGTGTGGACCCACCTGTTCTGCTTTAGGCTCCACGCACTGCTTTAACACAACCCCCGGCGTTTTCTCGGGTTCCACAGCCCCCTCTCCAGGGAGAAGAGGGCAAGGCAAATTGCTCTGCCCACTGGATATTACTGTCTTTCTATTGCCGCCCCAAGTGCTGGCGCTGGAGGTGGCTGCTTTCATTTTACCTGCTTTTACATTTACATCCTGCCTTTCTTTCCTGTTCACATACTCCTCCTGCTCTCCATTTTATTCTCACAACAGTCCTGTAGGGTAGGCCAGGTTGAGAGACAGGGACTAGCCCAAAGCAGCCCAGGGAGCTTTGTGGGCCCCCGCCCTGCCCTCTCTGCCGGGGGTGCTGCGCCTGTGGCCCACTTGGGAGCCTCCCGCGGGGGCTGCTGCACTTGTGGCCCACTTGGGAGCCTCCCGCGGGGGTGGCTGGCCGGCCAGCTGCAGTGTGGCTCTAACATTTTTACAACCTCAGGGACCTGAATTTTAAATCTCTCTGCCCTCCTGCCCTCATCTGGGATTTCACCCAATCCTGTGCATAATATACTGTCTTTTAACCATTTTTTCAGGTTCAAACAACGTATTGATACGTTTTTGTTTTTTTTAAAGCAAGACCTGGGCATCATGGGCCTCTTGGATAATGAAAGCCATTCCTGCCAGTGGAAGGGTGGAAGGGCTCACTGAAATTTGCCTGGCATCCCTCCGTGGGGCACGCCCTGTCTTCCCCACAGGCATGCTAGAGGCTGCAGTGAACCGAACTGGACCCGTGGTGGTCCGTCCGTCCAGCCGGCATTGGCAGCACTGGCTGCCGGCCACATCTCCAGAGCGGCAGTTGGGCCTCGAGACCCTGGGGCGAGAGCCGGGGCCTTCTGCAGACAGAGCCTGTGCTTCCGCACCATGCTGTGATCCTTCCTCTAAAAGCAAAGAAAGATTCTAGTGCCCATGCTTCCAGGTAGAGAGCTGATGTGAATAAGGTCTGGAGCCACGTTAAACTGAGTCATAGTCAGTCCAGCCAGGCCAGTGATGCCAACACCGACTGGCACCAGCGGCGTTCCGCAAGGAGAGAATGTTGATTTAAGCTGCCTTAGGTTCCGTGCAGGAAAAATGGCAGGATATACATAGAAACAAGGATTTAGTCCTTCTGAAAGAGATGTGGCACTGGATAGATTTTGCAGAATGAAATTCTGCTCTTGCCTGGCCTTCATTTAGCAAAGCTTGGCCTGTGCCGTCACAGCACAGATAGGCCTCTGCTTCCATGACATTTGCTGAAAAGAGGACAGCTTTCCATTCCTGAGACCATCTCCTAGTTTCAGGTGCTTCTCGGAGGATGCTTCTTTCCACCTCTGTGCTGCAACACGAATGGCTGTGTTGCATAGTGGCCAGCGCTTTGTGTGCAGGTCTCAGATACGCGCTGGGTCGGGTTTTGCTTGACATAGTATGAGGCTTCCTGGAGCGATCTGTACGGAAAGGTGCCTGAAGCTCCCAATAAACATATGGGAGATCCAATTTCGGTTTTTAAAAGTCTGCTTTTGTTTCTCCAGATCCATCAAGGTGAATTTCAGCTTCCAGAGTTCCTTAAAGGAATGCCACAGGTGAGCCATCGTGGGGTGTTTGCTTATTATATCTCTATCCCACCCTTTTTCCTTCCAAGCTACTCAAGGTAGCTTACATCATTGTTCACCTCTCTATCTTATCCTCACAACAACAGCCCTGTGAGGTGGGTTGGGCTGAGAGTCTGGGACTGGCCCAAAGTCACCCTGTGAGGTGCATGGCTGAGCGGGGACTCGAACCCGGATCGCCCGAGTCCCAGTTCTGCACACTCACAACACTGACTCCTGCGCACATTGAGTCTGGCTGAGCTGGAGGGAGGTGCGACCCATCAGACGTTGCTGGGCTTCAAGCGTGACCAGTGGCGAGGGAAGATGGGAACTGTAGTTCATCAGCCTCTGGCGGGCCGCACATTTTCCCTCCCTCCCCGTGAGGCCCTGCTGCATCTTCATGGGTCTGAGCGCATGCAGAGCTTCTGGAGAATTTCGTGGGAATGCACTGCCCTAAGGTGTTGATATGCTTCAGGCGTGTTGCAGCCGAGCTGTTAGTTTTATTTCTGTGACGCATCAGGACCTGCCAGCATCTGCTCGTTCCGTGGCCTGCTTTGGGCGTGTTGGATTCCAGAAAGCGCAGCATACCCTGGTGCGGCGCATCAAGCATGGGCACCGAATCCCGCCCTGCCGGGTCTCAGCTGGGCCCTCAGGGCTTCCCCGGCAGGCCCCCCTCCCCGGCTGCCCCGCCATTTCCCTGACAACTGGTACTTCTGTGGCTTCTTGGTGTTGACGCCCTGTTCTCCGTGCCCGTTCTAAAACGCCGAAATGGCGAGGTGCAAAAGGGATCGCTGCCCTGCTGCTTCCGCCTCTGGCTCCCCCCGCTCCCCGTGGAGCGCAGCCTCTGAGGGCTTTCACAACAGGGGGTCGGCCTCGGGGGGAGGTGCTGGGCACCCTCGACTCTGGCCGAGTCACGGTGTTTCCGGACTGCTGCTCTTCCACCTCCGGACAAGCCCCTGTGGCACTGGATGCTGCGAACTGACAAGCAACATTCCCGGGCGTCAGGGAGGCGCCCTGCTGTCTTTCTCCAAGGGGGGCACTCTTTCTTTGGGGGCACACGCTGTCATGCAAGCACCTCCGCTGCCTCGCAGTCTGAAGTGGCTTAGCCCAGACTTGACCCCTGGGTGCGCACTCGGCCCTTGGGTCCCCTCAGCTGATGAGGGTGGGCATGTGGGGGTGGACCAGCTCTTTCAGAGGCAGGGTGGTTTCGATTCCACCAAAGGCAAGTCCCAGAGCTCAGAGGGAAAGCTCAAAATGCTGTCAAAAGTGTCAAGAATCCTGAAATGTGGGGAATTTGTCTATTACTGCGGCGTTGTACATGACTCCTGGAATCCGTCCGTCCATCGTCCTCCCTTCTGTCCATCCATCCGTCCTCCTCCTGTCCTTCCTTCCTTCCCATTTCCTGGGCCTGAGCTGATCTTGGCAGACCTTGGAAGAAGGGTCATTAAAGGACATTCTGCAAGAGAGAATTTTAACTCTGAGACTTCACTGGTTTTGCTTCCATTGCTAGTGGACTGTTAGGGTTTCCCTAGACAGCCTAAGACCACCTTTTGTATTACTTGGGTTGTTTGGGGCCTTGGGCAGGGCTGACTCTTCCCCACCACTGTGTAAGGCTGTGACCAGGGCATCCCTTCCATGTGCAAGACTTAACCCAGGCTCCACAACGGTTAATTCTGCCATAGGTCAAAATGGAGTCCTCCTGAGCTTTTCAGCCATCACAGACCGTTTGCCCAGTATTGTCTCTAAATAAAAATAGACAATTTAAAAATCGATGTATTTGGTGTGCGAGGCAAAATTTAGGATTAAGGGCCAAATTTCAGCCTTGTTGCCCCTGTCACATTGAGATGGGAAGGAAGCTAGCATTATTCCGTGACCAGTTTTTGGAAAGAGCAGTGCATCTGTTCATTCGAATGGAGTAAAGCTCAGGGAGCCCAGGTTCCAGTTGGATGCCAGGAAGCACTTCCTGACAGTTAGGCCCCTGAGGGTGTGGAATGGGCTTCCCTGGGAGGTGGTTGAGGCCCCACCGGTGAAGGTGTTCAAAGACAGGCTGGACATGCACGTGGTGGGCATGTCGTGAGCGGAGCACGGGGTCAGACTAGATGGCCCAGGAGACCCCTTCTGACTCGCTCTGTTTTTGTTTCTGTGACCTGGAGGAGGGGGTAACCAGCCTGCTGACCAAATTTGCAGATGATGCTAAAATGAGGGTGGTGGCCACAACTGGGGAGCAGGTACTTCAGATCTAAAAGGATCTGGACAGACTGTGGAAGTGGGCAGGGGACAACAGGATGGCGTTCGATGCGGATAAATGCGAGGTCTTGCACTTGGGGCATAGGAATAGGTGTCATAAGTGCAGGTTAGGGGACAAGTGGCTGGAGAGCAGCACTTGCGAAAGGGACCTCGGGGTGCTGGTTGACTGCAGGCTGAACATGAGCAGCAGGGTGGTGCGGTGGCCAAGGGGGCGAGCGCCACCCTTGGTTGCATAGCCAGAAGAGGGGCTTCGAGATTGAGAGAGGCGTTGATACCGCTCTGCACAGCTTTGGTGGACCCACAACCAGTGTCCTGCGTCCAGTTCTGGGCTCCACATTATAAGAGAGACATAACTAAGCTCAAATCAGTACAGCGCAGGGCCACAAGGATGGTAGCCAGATTTTTTTTCTGGCGGGGGGTGAGATGCCAAAGGAGATGAGGCTGAGGGACCTGGGTCTTTCCAGCCTGCCGAAGGGGAGACTCCGAGGGGATCTTTTAGTGCCTTATGTGAGGGGATGCCCTGTGGAGGAGGGCCATGAGCTGTTCTTGCAGTGAAGGAACGGTGCATTCCAGTGGGGCTCAGGGAACTGGACTTCAGGTTGGATGTCAGGAAGTACTTCCTGATCACTAGGACCCCGAGGGTGTGGAATGGGCTTCCGTGGGAGGTGGTGGAGGCCCCATCGGTGCGGGTGTTCAAAGATAGGCTGGACATGCACATGGTAGGCATGTAATGAGTGGAGCCAGCCGGAGCCAGGGGTCAGGCTAGATGGCCTGGGAGACCCCTTCTGACTCGCTCTGTTTCCATGTTTCTGTGTTTGTATTCGTCCATCTGCCAGCCCCAACCCTCCAGCCTCGCGCCTCCCAAATATTTTGGACTTCAGCTCCCACTGGTATAGTCAGTGGTCAAGAAGTCTGGGGATTATCCAAAACATCCAGAGGGCATCCAGTTGACGCCTTGTCAAGCAAGTGAGAAGGAACTCCAGGAAGGGGTTCCCAGACCAGTTATGTGCACACCAGGGGTTCTGTGTGCTTGGCTTGTGACGTGACTGATTTTGGGCAGGGCCTTCTCTGCCTGTGAAGAGCTTTTTCTTTTTGGAACGACTTGGACAAACTGAGCGGGCGGCCGCTTGCCGTGCAAACAAGGAATGGCTTTCTTCTCGTTGCAGCCACGGAAGACAGTGGAGAGGAGGTCCCATGTCAAGGCACAGTGAAGCAGGAGCTGATCAAGCGGGGTAGTTCCTGGCGCCGCCTGTCTTGCGCATTCGGCCTGCCGGCTGCCGCCACCCCGTGCTTTTGGCTGCAGGCACCAGGGCGCCTCCTGATACGCTCCTCTCTCTCGTGTCTGCACACGCAGCCTCTGACGCGCAGCGGGGGGTGCTTTGGCCGTCCCATGCTCACGCTTCGGCAGCCTGCGCTGTGGGCCTGGCCGGCTGTGCTCAGCTAGGGCGCCACCACGAGGGAGTGGCCCCAGTTCGGCTTGGTGTGCTGCCGCCCCGGTATGCTGCTTGACTTCCGGCTCTTCTGTGTGCGTGCGCGTGCGCACCTAAACATCCCAAAAGGTGTTCTAGAAGTCCTGCCTTCTCACTGAACGTGGAGGACCATTAAAGTCTGGGGTCGTCTTGGTCAAGTTGATCGACTCCCATTGTGGGCGACGTTCGGGGGCTCCGTGCTGTGGACAACCAGATAATATTTTGCGGGGGAACCAACTCGCTGTACAAGGAGGTTCTCCTCTGGATTGGGCTCCGGTGCGCTGGTGGGTCCCCCAGAGCCGTCACAGAGGGCGCCTGCTGACGGGACAGCCCACTGTGCCACCTCTGGCTGACCACACGTGCAGACAAGCTGCCAGGCATTCTTGCCCAATCCAGTGGTTTTCCTTCTCCAGTCCTATCAGATGTGCTGCTTTATTGCTGAATGGCCTTCAAAGCCACCAGTTCAAAAAAATCAGTACATTAGGACATAGTAACATAGAACAGAGCGATTTTGTTTTGATAGCCTCTTGGGCTATCTAGTCTGACCCCCGGCCCCACCCGGCTCCACCCATGTAATCCCCAACATGTGGTTGTCTGATCTTCCCTTGAATGCCCTTCATGATGGGGCTGCCATCACTTGCTGTGGAAGCCCATGCCATATCCTAGGGTTCCTAACCTTCAGGAAGCACTTCCTGGCATCCAACCGGAAGCCTGGTTCCTTGAGCTGTGCCCCATTGGAATGCATCCTGCCCTCCACCTCAGGGGAGAACAGCTCACGGCCCTCTGCCGTGTGACACCCCTCACATCCCTTCGTGGCGGGGTGGGGCGAGCAAGAGACTTGGCGAGGGAGGGGAAGGAGCTGCTGGAAGCCCTGCAGTTCTGAATCGCTCCCCGGGCCCGAGGGGGTGCCCCCAGTGCGGAGCGGGGCAAGTGACTCACGGCCGATGGAGGCCAGGCCCTTCCGGAGCCCTTCGAGCTCAAGTGAGGCTTTGTGGCCCTGGGAGCAGAAGCACTGTGACTTAAAGGGCACGCCACACCCCTGCCACAGGGCCAGGCTGGCTAGGAATGATGGGACACGTAGTCCAAAACATCGGGTGTGCGCAGATTTGGGGAGGACCGCATGCGTCCTGCTGCCCGAAACTTGGGTGGTTTCGACGGTGTGTGGGGGGGGGGACGTCATTCACCTGCAGATTTATCACTGGGGGTTTGCTCAGTTCTGCCTGTGGCTACTGCAGCCTTATAGCTGGGAACGCCTTGCATGGATTTGACATTGGGAGGGGGGCCCAGTCCCTAACTCCCTCCTGTCTGTCCGGAATCACCTCTTGACCGATTTTATTGAAAGAACCCTGCATTCCGGAATTAACTGTTGGAAGTTCCTCTTGCTTCATCGCTGAATGTCGCTTCTTTCAACGGGCAGTGGCTCTTTTGTTGATGTTTTCTCTTCCTCCCCTCCTCTTCTTTTGATAGACTGACGTGGTGAAATAGAAGAGCGGATTGGACTGAGTGTAAGTTGCCTGCTTGTGTCTCTTGAGCTGTGCTTGGGATCAGCAGCGGTGCCCCTGGGAGGAAGCCCTCCGAGGGTGGGAGGGCCCTAAGCGCGGTGCGGCTCGCACGTTCACGACCACAGTGTGATTGGCAGCAACTGCAACTAGAACTTAAAAAACGTTAATGTTTTTATCTGATCTCCTCGCCATAGAGGTCTTCCTTGCCATTTTACCCCTCGCTATAGCCTGTGAGGCCGGTCAGGTCAAGAGGCCACTAGTGCCTGGCCCCAGGTCACCAGCGAGCTTCAGGGCTGAATGCCTGACTGGAAGCTGGTTCTCCTGAGTCCCAGCCTGGCATTCTCGCCACTGAATCCTGCATGTTCCCAAGGATCCTCCAGGTTTTGCAGGGCCTCTCTCTGCCCAGGTCCAGAGGGCAAGTGTAGTCAAGACTTCATGCCTGCAGGATGTGCTCTGATGTTTTCCTGGAAGCTTGAGACCTTGAGCAGGGGAGGCCCTCGGGATGATGCTGGACAGCATCTCCCATCATCCCCAGCCAGTGGCACCAGCTCCTCAGCATGCCTCCTTCTGTTCATCCTGGCTCGCGAAGGAGCTTCCCGATGGATTCGTTGGGCAGCCCCGGGAGGCGTGTTTGGACCCTCTGCCTCCGCCGTCCCGTCCCTTGGGCTGGCTCTAGAGTTGGGCTCTTCCCTGCCGCCCAGCAGCTAGCACAGGGATGGGCCACTCCAGGGCACCCGAATGCTGTTGGACTGCAGTTTCTGTCCTCCAGCACAGCTGGCACTTGCCTGAAGGGAGAGCTGACCCTCTGAGCAGCACAGCTGAAATTTTCTTTCATCTCTCATGCAGGAATGCTGGCTGCCTCTGAAGAATGCACCAGGGCAGAATCAGCGGCGAACTGGCTGGGCTGCTTTTCCAGAACATTCTTCTGCTTCATACTGCTTTTTTAAAAAATGCAAAGATTTTGTTCTGTTTTGCTTCCCTGTGTGTCCAACCAAGCACATGCGTATCTCTGTGCCAGGGCTTCAAACAGACAGAGCAGCCCTGCTGAAACACCAGAGCCATGTCGGGTGATCCCACGATCAAGGCATTAAAGCAGGGACGGCCTGGGTGGAAATCAGTCCTCTCCACCCACCCATCTGCAGGAGGAATTCCAAATGCATCAGTGACGCATACCTCCTCCCCCTTCGATGTCCCTGAAGTTGCCCAGGGAGCGGGAAATGTCCTCGGTGGAATGCGCCCAAAGCACTCTTCGAGACAAAATGCTTAGCTTGGTGGCCGGAAATCCTGAGCTGTTCCTTTCTCCTTCCATTTACCCAACTGTTTTTAAAACCTGCAGAAGCAGATGGAACCTATCATCCCGCCTCTATTTCTTTCTCCTCTGTTCTTGCACTTTATTTTTTTTAAGGGGGATTCAGAAAGTGTGTCCTTCATTATAGAATGTGGGCTGTTAAATATGTGCAACGTGGCAAAAGCGTGTCTGTGCGTGCCCGAAGGGGTTGATCCTTGGCCCTCTGATCTGACGTGCGAGCAGCAGGGCTGTGACCACGTGGACCTGTGCGCCTTGCAGCAGGTTGGTGGTTCTGACTCGAGGAGGATTTGAGAAGGGGGCCTAGGTGTCATCTCCGTGCCCCCCTTGAGGAAGAATGTGGGCACGGCCCAGGCCCAGCAAGGTGTTCTTTGGGGTGTGTTTTTCTTAATCTAGTACATCAACTTTTCCACTTATGAGCCAGGCAGCGGGGTTGTGTGTGTGTGTGTGTGTGTGTGTGTGTGTGTGTGTGTGTGTATTGCTTTTCCTTGATTAGGGTGATTACTGTGTTTTAAATTGTGACAAATGATTTATATGCCGGTTCTCTCCCCCATTTTATTGACATGTGAAAATGAATTTTTAATTATTTAAAAAGATGATTTCAGAGATGTGGAAGAAGAAATTGTATGTTTACACTCAACCTTTTGTATTTTATTTTTCAAAATAAATGCTTTAAATGTGATGGGGGGGTTCTTTTTGTTTGTTTGTTTGTTAAGTTGCCCATGGGTTTGAAAAAACAGGAAAGAAGTAGTCAGAACTTCTGTCTTGCTAACTAACAAGGCTTTTAAGGCAGTTGTCAAGAACAGAATTTTAAACATAGATACTAAATGTTAAAACTGTGCAAGATTAACAATATCTTGAAGTAAGAGGAAGAATGTGAGCTGTACCTACGGGAGGGAAACAAAGGCATGAGAGAGTGGAACCTCTTTTAAGCGCAGCATGGAAGCAGAGTTGGCAACAGGTAAGTATGTCTGAGTCGGTGCCACCACTGATAAGACCCTTTTACTCCTCTGCCTCTGAAGACATTGGCATCCAGAACCCCAGGGTCCTTTGAACCAGATTCTGCAGGGGTTGTTGTAAGGACACAAGGTAAACAGCCTCATGTGCACCAAGTTCTGTTGGTGCTCCCGGTATAAAGCAGCATTGTAAGGAATAATAGCAGTTTGGTGACTCTTCTAGTACTGACATGCTGGATGGCCAAAGAGCAGAGTCCCTCAATCTGGTGTCCTACAGGAGTTCTCTACTGCAATGCCCATAATTCCCAGCCAGCATGGGGATTGCAATCCAACACTTGGGGAGGTGGGGGGATTTCTTGTGAAGCCACAGAATTCAGAAAATGTCAGGCAATTCAGCAAAAAGGCGGCACAGGGCAGCCCCTAGTGGAAGGAAAGAGAAAGTCGTAGCAGTACAATTGTATAAAATAGATCAATAATTACTTGGGGTGTGTGTGTGTGTGGGGGGGTTCCATTTACAGGCTTAACTTTTTTCTTTCCATATTTTCATACTATTTTTCAGGGCCCAAAGCCCTTACAAAGACATTTACAACTGAAGTGTAATTCAGAACATAAAATGCGTCAATTCAAGACAGAATGACTTGTACCAAAAACAGCTTTTCAGGCCAACAGCTTGCTTATAAGAGGTTTGCGATGTTGTCGTACTAACAAAATGTGCATGTAATGGCAATGGTTCCCAACTTCTCCCCCCCTTTTTGGACTTCTATCCCTTCCCACTGAGCTGCTGTAAGCCAAAACTTGACATGTTTCCATGTACGGACTGAATGAAATCTACTGGATTTGTGTGAGTGAAAATTCCCAGGAGCCCTCCAGTGGGAACAAGAGTTGGCACCCTTGCTTTTACGCAAGTATGAAACACCCGGAGGAGCTATCTTCCTCCCTTGGTGGACAGTATGGCAGGTTAAAACTCAACAGGGGAAGTTTCTGACTACAGCCACTGAATATATTTCCCCCTTCTCTACTGAACAGGCTTGGATTACATATAATGAGTAGAAAAGGAACTCTCCTCCCTTCCCACATGCTGTCCAGCTGGAGCAGGCCCTGATGTTCCTTCCAGCTCACCTGCTCTTGCTTGTGCCACCTTCTTTTCCCCAGGGCAACTAACTTATACCTTCCAAGAGCTGTGGGTGGAAAAAATTCGCAGAGAACGAGCTACTGTGTAAACCTTTTGCCCCCACAAACAGCAGAGGTTTGTGGCATGTTAAAGACTTTGCAGATTCAGCCTGGCGTATGGGACTTCTTTAGCGAAATCATTTTGCCAAAGGTGCGATTCTCTGCATCCTTTGGCAGAAAAACTCCCAGTGCTTCCTAGCCTGGTCGTTGTAAGCCATTTGCTGTAGGTTGGAACATGCACAGGATAGTAGGACTTTCTTTGGTCCAGACATGCATAGGATTACACACACAGTCTTCAGGGTGTCCCAAGACTCTTATTTTGATTAAAAACAAGCATACAGGCACAGGGGACCCATCTTGCTGTGCGTGTATACATGCGTGTTGTGTGTGGGCATGTGCGTACACGTGTCTTCACTGTTAAAGGGCCCAGGCCCTGCATCCCGCTGCCATGGCGATGGCAAAGACCCAGAGCACTCCCGTCTCCATGGCAACCGGACGCGGCTTTCGCGAGACGGAGATAACTGCGTCACGTTGCCACGGGAGGCAGAGGAAGCGTTCGAGCCAATCCGAGGGCCTCTATTGGGAGGAGCTTTTCCGCCGGCCCGCCTACTTTTCCTTCCTCTCCCGTCCATCCACTCCGAAAGTGCCCGGATAGCGCCCGTGCGGGTCACGGATACGACGCCAGGGGCGTTGAGAACAGAGCCTCCCCTCCTCGGGTCGGACGAGGCGGAGCGACGGGCCGCCATTGCCGCTCTCCAGCGTCGGCGCGAGAACGGAGCAGGTGAGGGCCGCGGAGGAAGGGCGCGTTGCCGCGGCAACGTTGCCCCGCCCCCCGGCGCGGGGCGATGCGTGAGGACACGCCCCCGCCCGGAGATGGAGCGGGTGGCGCGGCCCCGCCCCTTTGGGGCCCATCTCCCATTGGTGGAAGCGGCGGGGGTGGGGAGAAGGAGGCTCCTCCCCTCAGCGTGGGCCCATCCCCTTTTCTGAGCGGGCGCCCCCTAGGCGTGGGGAGGGTGCTTGCCGGGAGCATTCAGACTCTGACGTAGCCCCGCCTGCGCGGCGATGGGAGTCGCCCTGACGCGTCTGGAGGGGCTAGCCGGCTAGGGTGGGCCACCTGACGCCCTCTAGTGGTGCTGGGGCGGCAGTTCCCACTCAGGGGATGATGGGAGCTGTAGTCTCACACATGCGGCAGGGTGCACCTGTTAGGCTCAGGGGCGGCAGCAAACCTGGTGCTGCTCAAGTGTGTTGGGGCTACCTGACTACCTGCAGCTTTGGCTGTGCGTGATGGGATTAGTAGTCCAGCAACAATGGGAGGCCAACCAGGGTAGAAGATTGAAAGAATGAGAAAGAGGGAAGGAGAGGAACCAGTTATGAACGAGGGGTGTGGAGAAGGAAAGGTGAATTATTATTGCTAATGCGACTTAATAGATGTATTTATTATTATCATTAAAGTATTTTTATCCTGGTGCTCTGCTAAAAAAGGACTGCCCTCAATCCACTGAGCATCAATCAGCAAAACAAGACAGGCGTATGATCTACAAAAACACAACACGTGAGCAACACGGGATGGGGAGGGAAGGGGAAAAAGTGCATTTTCAGCAGGGCTGATGGAACAGCCCTGCCTCACCTCTGGCTTCCTGGGTGGAGGACAGTCCAGATGGAGCAGGCCCTGCTGTTTCCCCTGCCTGCTCCCCCCTTCTACTCCTAGAAACATTTCCCAAGCAGTTTACAAACAAAGATGGAAATGCATCGTAATAAATTGACATGCATTTATATAAGCCATGGATAAAACATTAATGCCCAATACTCAAAATCATAATCAACAAACTAGCTTTCCCCCACCCCAGCCCCACCCCCACCCCCACCATTAGGTGCTTTTATGCCCTTTATAGGTGTCTGAATGAAGGTAATCCATCCTTTAAGTGGGGCACCTCTTTCACTGGCGGTGGAAAGAGTGAGGCTGTTCGGGCCCTGCGCGTATATTTTGGGGAGCATGCGCGGCTCCTTTTTTCCCTGAGCAGTCATTGCTTGAGGTGGCTTGCTTTTATACCAGGAGGGATTCTTGTTCCGCAGGAGAATTTGTGACTTGTTTGTCATGAACACAGCCCCTCTGGGTGGCATGTGGTATCTTGGGGGTGGAGCACGGGTGTCGCCAGGCTGGTCGCAGTGGGTCGACTGGTCGTGGCAGGCTAGTCGCTTCGACATAAAGCTGAACGCGGGAGCGCGGCGGAGCCCAAGGGAGAAGGCCCTTCATCGCTGGAAAGGGTGCACCTGCGCCCTGCCCCTCTGGGCAAACGGGCAGTGGTGTTGTGCTCCGAGTGCAGCTCCCTCTAGGCAGTGGAGGAGGAGGCAGACCTGCTCCTCCAGTCTCCAGTGACTGGAGAAAAATAACCCCTGGATATATTGACTCAAAATAGGCCATGTGGAGTCAGCTGTTGTGTGCTAAGTCAGTGAGATGCTTGCTTTTGCGAAGGATGCTCTGAACTTTCAGTGAGATCAACAGCCGGATGTGTCCAGCTGACTGAGGGTATGTAACAGCATACAGGAAGCCAGATAAGTAAGAGCTCTGAAGAGCATCATGAACACAACCCCCCACCCATGGCCCCCGCAGCCATTTGGAAATGCCTTGTATTCATCTGCTCTTAGGAAGGAACCCGGGAGTTCTGCAGCAGAATCCAGGCTGAGGGAATTCCTAAGCATCTGCATCCATTTTCAAGCGTTGCCGGACACAGTTGTGGTGGGAACGATGCGGGCCGTGTCTTTCGAAGGCTGTAATCCTGGGCAGGTGTAGACAGCTTGCTTCATTTTGCCTTCCAGCTGGGAAAAGCTGGGAGGCGCCGAGCTTCTTTCTTTCTTAGAATGCCTAGCACTGCACTTTTGATCCATAAAAAACAATTTTACTTTGTTGTAAGAGTAGAAATAGAATTGTCCCATCTGGGCAGCAGAAGCACTGTTCCCACTGCGTTAAGGAAACCTGGTAGGGAGAGAAGTAATGGAGAGCCAACTCCTGGAAAGAAAACCTGTCCGCCTGGAAGGTTCCCCGGGAACCTTTGTTCTATTTATTGCAGCAGACGAGTATGAGCGAACCGCTGGAAATGCGTGCAAGTGCACGGAGAGGGACAGCGTGCTGGTTGAGGCAGTGGGGGGAAGTAGTCTGGCGGGCGAGCAACGCGTACATCTGGGAGGGCTGCCTCCAGTGACATGGAATCACTTAGGGGAGGCTTCATCCTCCGGTGGAACCGCGTTGTTGTCGCAGCGGAGGAAAACGGCTCGCCTTTGCCAGTCCGAAACGTGTCTTTCAGGGTCCCCAGATCAACCTGGCGGGCAATGCGCGGGGATGGCCATCGGAGGGTGGGGATGGGCGGAGGGGGTTTGCTCGGGGACCAGATCGCACGTGCCGAATGGGAGGGCGCTCGTGAAGCCTCTCCGGCCGCGCCGCCTCCGGAGCGTTTGGCCCGGCCTCCGAAAGGCGCCGTGCGGGCGCCGTGCTGTGCCCACGCTTTCTTCCGGGGCAGGAAGAGGCGTCCCCGCGTGTCCGGCCCGGGCCCGGGGCCGCGGCCGCGTTTTGCGGCACGGCGCGGGTTTCTCCCGCTCCCCAAGCTCCGGCCGCGCGAGTGTCGCTCGCAGCGCTGACGCGGGCTCCCCGCCGCCCGCGGCGCCGGGATATGCGCAAGGGACGCGGGCCGGCGGCCGTCGCGGCGCTCGTGTCGGAGCCCGGCGCATCAGCCCCGCCGCCCGCCGCCCTGCA